AATTCCTATTTGATAAGGCCGTAAATATTTACAAAGTAACAGAGCCCTTACAGTGAATTTATATACGTTTAGGTATTAATATTTAAATTAAAATCATTATATACATTCCACAAATTTATATTTATTCAAGGTATTATTTCAATAATAAAGCTTGGCCTGAATTTTTAAATGTACATGTACAGAATAAAGAAAATATGTTAATTGAATACTCAAGGAGCATTAAAGAATGAAAAACAATATGTAGTTACATTTTATTAATAATAGCCTCAAGATTTCTCTTAAAGATAAATCTTTTTTTAAGTACTAGTCGTGAAAGGTATCTTTTCTGACAAGTTAATTTATTGATGTTAGCCATATTGAAGTGTTGTATGCGTGCGTACATGTATGTATGTGTGTTTATGCATGTCTGGCTGTGGCCTCGAAGCCCTCAAATTCATCGGGAAGCGAGTTTATTTATTGTCTATTGTATTAAATATTTATGCATTTTGGTGAGCCATACTTTGGATTTAGTAAAGTATGTATTATGTATAATTATTTATTATTTTTGTTGAGATAGCAATATTAAGGAACTCTGTCTAAATTTTTACATCGCCAACATTGTATATTTTTAATCAACATAAACCCGTGGTAATAGTTAATAGTTTTGATGAATAAATATATTAATAGTTTTGATGAACTGTCAAATACGGAGTATTTTTTATAAAATCTTGAGATATTCCATAGAGTAAAACATAAAATTATGTGGGTGAGATATATGATTGGACCCAATTAAAGTATTTTCTACAATCTTGGTATCAGAAAAAATAATATTTCATTTACAACATTTTCAGTACAAAAATTTACTACTATTTTAATTAACTAATTTCATCAAATCTGTTATAAGAATATTCAAATTCTGTACGTTAATTTTATGAATAAACATTCAACTCACTCAAAATACTATCAATCTATGTAGCATAGATTAGAAGTCTTAGATGTCAAACTTATTACGCCCGGATATAGGAAGTAAGCTGACAAGAGATAAAACGAGTTGAGCAGAGATCTTATTAAAATACAATTTCAAAATAGTTGTTGAGAAAAGGCAAAATAAAATATAACATACGTGCTAAAGTGTGTATTTGTATGTGTGTAATTACGAGTAAAGAGTAAAGTTAAAAAGTTGGTTCGTCTTTTAAATCTCTACCTTATACATATGTATGTAAGCGTATTTAGGGTGATGGCCTTTTATTGATACATATGTAAAAAAACTATCAGTCACTGGTTATTTTAGATTCAAATAGTGTTTTAACTGTACTCTTGATTTCAATTCCGGGGTTGCTACTCGGTTAAAACATTTTAATTGGGAAAGTCATTGTCTTCCAGTTATTTAATTTACATTTTTTTCTATACTAATAATTTTCCCGACAATCTTACGTATAACTTTATCAGATAGGAAGTCATCAGAGCACGTCAGATGTACATGTTAAAAGTTTTGAAGAAAAAAAAATTAAAACAGTCCGTCTGAACGACTCCTTTAAAAGATTATTTACTTTTCATTTAATACTATTTAAGAAGTAATTTCAAAAAACTTTGATTTCTAAAAAAAAATGGCACTGAATAGTTAACAAATAATGCATATGATGTAGGTTTTAATAATTACTTCTGTGAAGCTCTAACTCACAAACTGTAAATATGTTCTTTGTTTTTTATATTTTATAACAAAAAATCGTTAAAAATGTAAGCAAGCACTTCTCTCTATTCTTCAAAGCAATACGATCTTTATTTAAAATAATTTATTATCGGGCTTTTATTAAGAAACTGATTCTGATATTTTTTTGTATTTTTTCACATTTTGATAATGAAAATCATTGGCCACTATTACCAATATACATACCCTTTCCACATTGAATGAATTGTAAAAGTATGTGAATAGGGTTTGAGTTTATTGATATAAAAATAATTTGTTAAGTATATAAAATATGGATATAATTTACTCTGTAAGTTTTTTATTATAAATTTCTTACATTCATCAAAAAATAATTAATCGTCATTTTTTATTTGAAGTAAATATTTTTCTTTACACTAAAATTATATAATTCTATTTATAAAAGGAGTAATAAAAGGTGAACAAGATCTGATAAACTCGGTTGAGATTAGAACTCCGGACTTGTGGCACTTGTGGCACAATTATTAATAACTAGGTGTAACCGCAACTTTGTTTGTGTTAAATAATGAGTTTGGGAAACATTTTGTTTAATATATTTATGGTTAATGTTGGACTACTAAGAGTGCTGTTTTAGTATTAAAATATGATTTAAAATTTGATTGGATTGGATTATATCTTAGAAAGTATGACTATTGGGCTTCAAAAGATATATTTGCCTGGCTGAATATTTTTTCAATATAAAGATAGCGAAACCTTTCATCTTTATTATATATTTTTTATGTATTAACCATATTTAGCAGCTTTAAAAAATTAAAACATTGTTGGCAAACATTAGGTGTAAAAAACAAAAAGTCATAAACCTCTAACTGTTAACCCAAATTGTAAAGTAGAAACCTATAAAAGTATTCGCGTCGCTGCAAAATTAAGGATTCTGTAACAAAATTCAGTAACAAGAACACAGTCAGCCAAATGATTCCTTTGACAGGCAGCTAATCTTATTGAACGCTGAGATTGGATTTCAGCTTTATATTGTTTGTGGTGGGATCAACCATATATTCATGATTACACTAAATAATGAAGTAAGACATAAATTTTGGCATTATATATTAAAAATTAATTCAGTAGATTTGTTTAACAAACCTTATCTTTCTTTATTATTGGATTGCATGAGAAAATATTACCTTAAGGCTTTAATATTAAAAGTTTGAGCTTTTTTGTGCAATATATGTATTTATGAAGGTGAAGATTTAACTTAAAAACAGAATAATTACATTACGAAAGTAAGAATAAACACGAGACGGAAGATGTTTACATAGAGGACATTTATCTACATTTTAGATTTATTTTATGTCTAAGGCGGTAAACGAGCAGACGTTTCCCATGGACATGTGCAATCTAAGGGATGTTGCAGATGGATTGTCAACCTTGATTGTGGGAGAGAGAGAGGACAGGGCTTGAAATAGGAAAGAACAGGAATGGGTGGGAAAAGGAATAGGGCAACCGGCTCTCTCACTCATCGGTTGAAACGCAGTCATTAAAGACCATTCTGATCTTCTGTGAGAGGACGGTACTTCGTCAGCCCATGTTCAAGATGTACTAAATTGGCTACAGCTGGGCTCTGCCACTTCTAGATTTAAACTTTAGGTTCACTAAATTCCAGAAAATGTAAAAATAATAATAATTTCTTTTTACTTTGAAGAATACTAAGAGTTTTGTGTTGGTATAATTTTTACTTCTAAAAAGCGTTTTATAACGTTACCTTTTACGTTCTGTTTGATATAACATAGCTAGGGCGTTAAGGTCAATCCTTAAATTAATCCAAGGAATATCGGCGCAAACTGCAGAATATCGCGATAATTTTGACCGGGCAAAACAAGAAGTAGATTTCGATAAAAACCCCTTTGAGTATTCGAAAACCATTTTTAAGAAAGAACGCGGACAGCTTCTCTTGACCAACGATCAAATTTACGACCATTTCAAGAGCACATACGAAGTGCCAAAAAGTTTAAGACGGTATAGGGATCCAAACGATCAAAAACCTCAATCTCCTCAAATCGAATTCCACGGCATTCCACCAACGCTAGAGGAACTAAGTAGTCAGATCAAGAGGAAGTCGTCTAAATCTGCACCGGGACCCGATGGTATCCCATATATAGTCTTTAAAAAATGTCCATCGGTTCGTAAACACCTCCTAAATATATACGGTAAAATCTGGTCAGGGAAGCAAATCCCGGAGTGCTTCGGGAAAGCAATTTTTGTCCTCATTCTCAAAAAAGATATAGTTACTGATCCGAAAGATACTAGACCGATAGCTTTAACAAATACTATATCGAAAATCTTTTTCTCGGTTCTACAAACGAGAATGACGCGATTCATGCTCAGCAACAACTATTTTAGGCCAAATCACCAGAAAGGGTTTTTACCCGGGATTTCTGGATGCCTAGAACACAACACCTTGCTGTCGGAGAGTTTGAAAGATCCTAGAAAAAGCGAGCGGCAAATCACTGTTTGTTGGATAGACTTGGAGAACGCGTTCGGGTCGATACAACACGAATTGATGCTATTCGCGCTTAGATGGTACAACTTTCCACCCCTAGTTAGAGATATGATCGCGTCGTATTACTCAAAATTAAGGTTTTCTATAATAACTAAAGAAGGCCCTTCAAAAAGTTTGAGTTATAATGTAGGACTGTTTCAAGGTTGTTGTCTATCTCCAATTACATTTAATATCGTTATTAACATCTTAGTAGACAAATTAATCTGTAACGAGAAAAAATGGGGTTATCGGTTTAAGTTTAACAATAAATACACGGAATCCATTTTAGCCTTCGCTGACGATCTCGCAATACTGACACGTAACCCCAAACACTGTCAAGTACTATTGGATGAAGTGGATAAATTCTGTGAGTGGACGGATGGATTGAGGACAAAACCCAGTAAGGCCTCGGCCTCGAATCTCGCGGGTAGCGGGGCGGCAGCGGCGGCGGCACGGAAACGCATACTATTCTCCAAACTAGCGGGCAACGGGCACGGAGAAATGTATGCGTTTTCGTGCCGCCGCCGCTGCCGCCCCGCTACCCGCGAGATTCGAGGCCGAGGCCTAAATGTCATTGTCTGTGTCTTGGTAGGCGGAATACAAGATACACCTCATACGATCCGGGACTATCGTTAGGCGGTCAATGCATTTCTACGGTTACGGAAAATGCACCATTTAAATTTCTCGGTCGTAAGATTGATAATATAATAATAATAATAATAATAATAATAATAATTTATTTCAGATCTTAATCCATATTGTGTTAGTAAAAATTAAACTTAATAAGCTAGTTGGTTAGTAAAGTTACAAAAATATATTTTATTTGACTACATGGAGCCGTATCCAATGTGCCAAGATTGGCGAATCCCAGCGATCTAACAATGCGTGCAGGATCGTGTTGGGACTGTCCCGTACTCGTCGAAGTAAGGACGCGCAGCGTTTGCGCATGATGGAAGCAAAACCATCTGTGTGAGTCTCTGCGAACATAGCAGAGGCGCTGCAGTATCGCGGCAGCCCCATCAACATCCTGAACGCATTGTTGTATTGCACACGTAAGTCACTGTATGCCCTCCGAGTATAGTTTACCCACAGACTGCACGCATAAAAAGATTGACAATATGCGTTAAAGAGCGTAGTTTTTACTCGTTTGGAACACTTTGCAAATCTGCGGATCAACATATTGCAGCGAACAGACAGCGACCTCCGTTCTCTCTCTATATCCAGATTATCATTCAAATCCTCAGTTATCCAGTGACCCAAGTACTTAAAACGGCCAACCTTTGTAAGTGGTGTACCGCACAGTGTGATATGTGGTATATCATTATACCGCTTGTGATCCGGTTTAAATATCATAAACTCACTTTTCGTTGGATTGTATCTAAGTCCATGAGTCACTGCATAAGTCTCACAAATACTGAGGAGTCTTTTCATTGCACCACTTGAGGGACTCAGCAGCACCAATATAGGCCGTACTCCATCTTTAGAAGGAATAGTAGATAGCTTTTTGAACGATCTCAACAAGGTAGATAGCCAACTGATAAGTAACGTCAAAAAAGCGTGGATCTACGAGAATTACTTAACTTCACGTTTGAATTGGCCTTTCCTCGTCTATGATTTTAATAAAACCCTTTTGTCAAAGTTAGATGCAGGCGTCATAAAGATGTTGAAGTTGTGGCTCGGGCTCGCTCTAACGGCTGATTCATCGGCGTTATTTAGGGGAAGCAATGGTTTTGGGATGAGTCTAAAAAGGCCATCGGAGCTCTATAAACACCTAAGAGTTTCCAAGAGACATATCCTGGGGAAATCCCATGATGACATAGTGACATCGCTCCCAAAAGATGAAGATGCCCCCGAGCTAGAGTATAGGAGCACAAAGTAACAGAGCGGGGTTAGGATCAAATAGGAAAGTCCAAGATGCGGATATATTGAAGTCTTTTATTCGGCAAGACGAGAATGATAAATATAAGATCCATGCAATGAATTTAGAAATGCAGAACGAGTGGTTAGACATAGGAGATTTTTGCATCCCATTAGCATTAAAATGGCGCACTTTAATTTATGATTGGTCGCCAGCATTGCTAAAATTCTATCTCAATGCGTTCCAGATGACTCTCCCAGATCAGAGTAATTTAGTAAGATGGGGTAAAAGTACCGAAAAAACTTGCTATATCTGTGGAAAGGCAGTTGGAACTGCTAAGCATCTGCTGGTGGGATGTAGAGTACTCCTGGACAACGGTCAATACTCGCGCCGTCACGATAGGGTTCTAGAAGTCATACGTGAAGCGGTTAGTCTTTCGGTAGCCAGAGCGCAAAAGGAAATAACCACAAACGAACGATCAGTAGGTTTTGTGAGAGAAGGCACTAGGGCTACAAAATCAAACGTCAAGCCTTACTCCATCCTTAAAGCGGCGTCGGATTGGACTATTATGATGGACACGTATGAAAAACAATATAAAATCCCCGAGGATATTTGTGCGTCGGCCTCCAGACCGGATATATTTTTGTTTTCGCGAATTTTAAAGCGCGTAGTGATGATAGAGCTTACGGTCCCTTGGGAAACCAACATCCCCAAAGACCATACCATCAAAGTCAACAAATATTACGAGCTCACAAACGAACTCACTCGAAATAGGTTCGTAGTAGATTTGTACGCGGTAGAGGTGGGAGCGAGAGGTATAACAGCGAAATCTCTCTACAACCTACTAAAGGACTTGGGCTTGTCCAGAACTCACATTAATGCATTCTTGGAACGTATATCGAAGGCAGCCCTAGTAGGTTCTTTTCAAATTTGGTTAGGTAGGGAGAGGAGCTTGGACAGTGGAGGTGAGCGTATAACGCGCGTTGGTTAAGGGGCCCCTTAAACCTACACTTGGGTCGCAAGTCCCAGGCACTGTTGAGGCTCCTCTCCCTGCAACGCGATGGACCCGGCACCCGCACGGTGAATCCATGGAATGCTTAGTAGTTTCGTCTCTGTCGTCTTAGTCACAAGAAAATAAATTTTTATTGTGAATAAGTCTATTTATCTTTGCGAAATAAATAGCTCAATGTTCTCAAAAGACAATATTTGTACTTATTTTAAATTTATTGGTTTCTTAATAGTACATAATATTTTAGCCACAAGCTGTACGTTATAATAAGAAAAATTGTAATTACGTTCGTCTAACTATACAGAGGACAAAGTTCCCTGCGAGATTCGTTTGGTTCTACTGGCGATAAAAGTATGACAAAAGTAACACAACTTCATGTTTGTGAGAAGGAATTTCAGTGGATCATACATTTCATTTTTCTTATTTATGTAAGTACGAGTACGAGGAAGTTATAAATTATAAATTTCAAGTTAAGTTTTTTATTAGTAAAATACTTCTTAGACGATCTCAGATTGCGTATTTCTTATTTATTGCCTACTTATTTCTAATAGCTAAAAGGGTAATAACCAGAAGTATTAATGCTAATTAGCATTTTGATTTAAGAGGCGTCCCTTCCCTACAAACTATAGATTGACAATGTTTCCCTAGTTTGATGGTCATAAAATTAGAGTAATACCAATTTCTTTCATAAAAAGAACTATTTTAAATTAGTTTAAAGTCTTTTGAATTATGTTTTCTTGATATGGATTCCCTTTTTATAAAAACAAACAATTTCTGATCTCGGAACTGCTGTTATGATTGAAATAAATAAATAAAATTCATAAACTTTCTGAAAATTAATACTGGCTGTGGGCCACTTTAAAATTGTAATAGAAAATAATTTCAGATTTCCTTATTTTTATAACAAAGCATTTTTATGTATTTCTATGTTTATAACAAATCTACTTGATTTCTTTGTCAATGAACTTTAAAATTGTTACTTTATTTTCCATGACATTTTCTGACAACATCGTAAAGCAATGCCTTCGGGTCGTAAACAAAGATTTGCAGTGTTACAGATAGGACGCTACAAATAATTTAATAAACACAAAATGTAAATTTGGTTTTAAAAACATAATAAACATATGAAAAGTAAAAATATGAATGTTTCAATATTTGTAGAGTCTGTGTGAATAAATTATTCTTCAAATAAAGGTTGAGAGGTTGAATTTTAAACCATACAAAACTAATTCACGAAGACCAGAGTTTAAAACAATTCACGAAAATTAATTTACAAAGTTTATGTATTTAAATGATACTTTATTTAATAAAAATATACTTGAAACGAGATCAACTTGTGTAAAGTTAGCAGTAGTGTCTATAATAAACATACATATCTTCTAGCTTATACCGACGGCTCAATCTTAGGTACCATGTACAAGTAAGTAAAAATTGTATTCACCTTACTTATAGTCTGAGGTCTGATTTTAGAAATATTATTAAAATGTCAAATAATTACCTACGGAGAGACACCTTCTGTTAGCAAGACACTTTAAAAATCGAATGCAAAAAAACACAATATTACTTACAATGTGGTACTTGATTTATAAAGTTACGATTATGTAACAATAACAAAATACAACAAATTAAATTAATATGTTCCGATAATTTTATATGAATTCATGTAATTTTCAGTCATATAACGTAACAATGTTTTGCTAACAAAATGAATTCTACACAACTAGATGAGAGAATTTTAAACCAAGGATATCGCTGGTACTAAAAGCTGTAAGTAATTAAAACCTTAATAACTAGTAGCAAAATTTTGATGTACGGTTCAGTGCCTTTCAAACAAAGCGTCGTCTTAAGCTTGAAGAAATTTCTTGTCTATAATCTACTATAAAATATGTATAATGAATTGAGTTACCGGAAATGACTCTATAAAGAAATATTTTATAGAGAAATTTTAAGATTTTTATTTAGTATTTTTTTAAGCCAAAAGTTCGTGTTCAAATTTATTTTTATGTTCATGTGGTGACTAAAATAATATGTTTCGCTATACTTATAACAATGAAGTATTAATATTTGTTTATATTTAGATAGACAATTTGTATCTTAAAGCCAAACGTAAAGTCCTTTAGGTCATATTATTTCAGATAATCCTAATTATTTCAAATTATTTATCAAATTTACTGTGATTAAAAGTTGATTTGTACAGAATATAATGTTCATTATATATTGTATGTTATAATGACATTTCACTTAGATATGTATACCGTAGAATACAGCATAAATGCAAAAATTTCAAAAATAACTATTACTATCACAAATCAATGTAATGTATGTATGATAAAATTTGCATCTTCTTATTGTAAATTTGACTTTCCTAGTAGATTTGCCCTTTAGGGCATTGACTATCTCGGTAGATCTATCTGTGGCTGATTGTATTAAGTCTATTATGATAATGTTAGTGTAACTCTCACCTAGAAAATCGTCGTAGTTGGACTTTCAGCTGTCTTAAGTCTGCCCTTCCTGTCTTTAGTATAGATTAATTCATCTCCTTAACCATCTTCTTAGGTCACATGCGACAGAACTTTATTAAATAAATTTTCAAACTCACTGTGAGTTTCAAAATTTATTTAATCAGAAGTTTAAAAGCATTATGTAAAAAGAAAAACTTTATAAAATGAAAACTTAATTTAATCAATGCTTTAATATTCTACTCAAAACTTATGAGAATAATGTATTTAAATCTAAAATCGACTTTTGATATATTTTGTTATAAACGTTTTAAAATATTTTAAGCGAAGTTAAGGTAAGAATCTTTTAGATCATTATACATAGTTAATATTCAACTTTCGTTTATTCCCTATCGTACTCCTTAATTTAGACGTAAATATCCAAACGCCCGCAGGGATTATTAATACCGTGTTAGGGTGTAAAAGAAGATAGAGGTTAAATTATAATACATATTCAGAGTTCATTATTCTATGACCTTTAAAATTTAATGGCAAAGTATTTTTTTAAAACAATGGTAAGTTTTAGCTACGGAAATATGATATTTATCAGTTCAAAACATCGAGTCAAATACATAGTATACAACGTAGATGTGCATTATAAATGAGTCACCGAAAAATATTTTTATGTTGGTTTTCGTAAAAAATACTATTTTGGTATTTCAAAATGATATTAAAACCAAAAGTAAAGTGGGTTTTAATTATTAATAAAAAGTAATAATGCAGAATGTACTGTATATGAATAGAAGTACGAGTAGCATCCGCTTTAAGCCAAGCTAAAGCTGATGTTTGATTTCCCAAAAGGATGTACTTACTCTTAAATATTTAGGATTTCTATAATACCTATTTAATTAAAAAGTTAGTAGAACACATGCCGAGTGTAAATCACAATGAATTTAAAGGCGGGTGGTTAAAAATAAAAAAGTATAAAGATTTGATATGAAAATTATGATCATCCATGGTATGAAGTAGAGTAAACTGAAGTGGCGATTAATATTTTCTTTCCAATGTCTAGTCGTGCCATGTTTAATCTATAGCCAGGCTTATCTCTTACCAGCGTCTGGCTCAATCCGCTTATAAAGTAAACTAACTGATAGTTAGTTAGTTCCTGTAGTTGGTTGATTATATTGTTGTAGCGCTAAAGATAAACAATGCGACATCAATCAACATATAAAAATAGAAAAATTGATTTAGGGATATAAGAATGTCGTTAATGATTATAAAGTTAAACAATTTTATTCAAGTTCTTCTAGTGATACTTGTGAAGGGTAGTACAGTATTTAGTTCATGAAATTCTGGAACCTTGCCTGCCTTTAGGTTACCTAAAGTTAGATACTACAAAATTTGATTTCAACTTTAAGATTAATTTTAATATTTAATAACTCTGAATTATGGTTATTATTTAGATGAGTAATTAAGAGTTAAATTATCCAAACATAACGAACTGACTAGAAAAAAATTCAGAAGTGTATTCCGAACTTGTAAAAGTTATATAATAATAAAATGTTCTATGGGGTAGTTGCGAGGCCTAACAACTTTATTCGGAAACTGTTTTGAGAGCATGGACAATTGAATTAATAACATATCATTTAGCATGTCCTGGCTATCTATTGCATTGATTTACTACCAACACATAATATATTTATTATGTACACAAATGGATGTCTTTTGTTTTTCCATTTTTTATATTTTCTAGGTCACTTTGTTTCTATAAAATGTCTTGGTTTTCTATCTATGGGATATTTATTTACATGATTTGATATACATACATATCTACACTTTAATATATCTATAAATATTATTGATTTAACAAAGTTTCTGATAAACCTCCCCTTTTCGGAATTAATATTTAAATATAAACTGACACTTATTTCAAGTGTTGAAACTCATTAGCAAATTATTTATCAGACGAAACAATGGAAAAGTTCATCCGTAACAGGTTGGTGGGTTCTTTACGATCACCCCAACAACTTTTATTTCCATTCATTTTCTCTTAGTATTATGAAAGTGCGTTAGGATATATCTTTTGGTACATTTTAATGCATAACAGAACGTTTTAAGGATTATATTTTAAAACAAAAATAGAAATATTTTTTTTAAGTAAAATATACCTTTATTGGAGAGGAATACAAAAATTGTGGAGTATGAAGGTTTAAGCTCTGTAAGGTTTGATTCAAACGATAATTCCAATTTGATACTACTATGCTTGCCATATTATTTTCCTTATCATTTTCCAACTCAACAACCTAACTTTACCTAACTCCTTAATGTTATTTTGCCAGCCTTTATGAACAACTGAAATGTTCATTACTTACACACCTTGCAACTTTTTTAATTGGAAATTGAATTTAAATTCCTGTTGAAGTTGATTTCATTGGCACTGTATTTAAATTAGTGATAACTTGAAGTTTTATATACTGTTTAAGTTATTGAAAAATCTGTTTTTTTTAATAATAATAAAAAATGGCTTACGTGTGTCACGTTAACAAATGAAATTTTAAACGTGTAAAACATAGTAAAAAAATCTGATCTGATCTGATTCTGGGGTGACTTTGTTCTTATAGATTAAGATATTAGTTATTTAATTAAACTTTAGAAAAAAGGTTTTTCAATTTCAATGAATATTTTTAACAAAACAAATTTTATTAAACTGCTGATGTAATTGGAATACTTATCTAATTATTAAATTACAATTTCTGAGTACATGATATTACACTATAGAAATATTAATGCTATAAAAACTTCATTAGATTTATTTATCGTATTTTGTAATATTCAGTGTTATACTCCTATTTTAAACACGTTGGCTCTCAGTACATGTTATGAAAAATAGTCATAGCTTTGACGTTGTGATATTATAAGAGAGATTTCATTTCACAATAGATAACTTTTCATTTGGAAATAAATTAAATTTTAAAATATTTTGTAACAATAAATTAATTGGAACAGAAACAGAGTCGAAATAAATCATAATTGATATATACCAAAATATAAACAAAAAGAGGAGAAGAACAGAAAGGAGACTAATATTTACATATAAAAAACCTTTCAATTGAAGCAAAAAAATA